AGCTTTATTTGGGTTACTTTCAGGTGCAAAAATGGCTCGGACAGCTGCATCAATAAAGCCCACTCCTGGGTGGGCGTCAGGTCAAAACGTTGGAAATCCTGAACAGACATCCCAACATGCACTCGGCTTAGCAGGCTGGTGAGGCTCCTTTCCAGGCAGATTAGTTAGGTGAGCTTCTTCCTGGCAGCTCAGAAGGCCTCTTGGTTCTAGTATGACTTTTTTTTTTTTTTTTTTTTTGAGACAGGGTCTCTCTGTATAGTCTTAGCTGTCCTGGAACTCTGTAGACCAGGCTGGCCTCAAACTCACGGACATCGTTCTCCCTCCCAAGTGCTGGGATTAAAAGCAAGTACCACCACCTAGTTTTTTAGGCAGATCAGCTGAGAGAGTCTGAGACTGTCTCTCTGCTTATATATGCTTGGGGAAGGTGGGGCCTAGAGAATCTGGTCAGTTTCAGGGACTTCCTGAAGCTACTGAGTTGTTCACTTCCCTACAAAACATCTTGTTGTTTCACCTTTCTATAAACCCCCTGCCTTAAAATGTCCTGCTCTTTGACCTGCCTTTACCACCCTGCATCTAAATTCACTTCCTTTCAAGATACAGGCTTTGATATAGGAGGAAGCTACTACATTGCACACACTCAGCGCTCTTGTGTTTCCTTTAGACGGGGCCTGGCTTTGAACGCACTATATACATAGTTGATAATCCTGGTCTTCCAAACCTCTTGTCCTCACTTGCCAAGTGCAGCCAATCCTGTGAAGTCTTATTTTTATCTATTATTTATTTTTGAGGCAGTGTCTTTCTGTGTAGACCAGGCTGGCCTCTAACTCAGAGAGAGCCTCCTGCCTCTGACTCCCAAACTCTGGGATTAAAAGTATGTGGCACTCCCTCCTGGTCTGAAGTCCTCTTAAACAGCGGTAAGTGCCTTTAACCACTGACCCATTTATCTACCCATCTTGTTGTTTTGTTTTTTTGAGACAGGGTTTCTCTGTGTAGCTCTGGCTGTCCTGAACTCGCTTTGTAGACCAGGCTGGCCTCTAACTCACAGAGATCTACCTGCCTCTGCCTCCCTGAGTGCTGGGATTACAGGCCAGGAGCCTTGTTGAAATTTTAAATGAAATTTTTCTTTAGGGGTGTGTGTGTGTGTGTGTGTTTCAGGAATTGAACCCAAGGCCCCAGGTATGCTAGCCAAGCACTTTATCACTGAGCTATCTCCTCAGCACAAACTGCTGCACATCAACTACAGTTTTTTCTGAGGATATAGGGAAAGGCCAACCTCAGATTTCTCCTGCTGAACTCTCAAAGCCGAGCTTCAGGCACCAGATGCACACACTGGACAAGCAACTAATCCTGCAGTACACCATAGCAGGTTGTCCACAAACTGCATTCAGTCCTGCTGCATCTACCTGCAGCGCTCGGTCCCCAAGGCCATCCCCCATCTCTTCTGATGCCAAGCACAGGTCTCACGTTTTATCTTCTCACAGGACCCCCTCCCCCACACAGAGTACCATCAATTTGATAAGAACCCAGGGAAATGCTAACTTAACACTTATTACTTCATCATAAAAGGCTATCACAAAGGACATAGATAAGGGTCAGGGGGCATTTGGGAAGAAGTGGAGTTGCTCTCTCCAGGCACACCAGCTTCCGGAACTCTTGTCCTTTTTGTGGGGCTTTTTTGTTTGGTTTTGTATTGGCGGCAACGTCCTCCTGTAAACATAATTAACCCAAACCCCTGAGGAACTTGATTGGATGAAGAAGAGTCAGAGCCGATGTTAACAGCCTGGTAGGGAAACCTAGAAGAGCCTGTCTGTTCACTTTCCCCATCCCAGATACCGGGCAGGGCCCCTCTGGTTGGTCAGGCCAGAGAAGTCCTTTCATGACCACCTCCTAGCTGGAAGGTGGGAAAGATTAGAATTTCTGTGGTTTCAGGTGGTGAGGCAGGAAGAGCAGTAGCTCGAGGGCATCCTGGGCTGCATTGATCCAGTCTCAAAGAAGTAAACAACAACAAAACCCACCTATGATCCGTCCTAAGGAACAGAATGTTTAGTTTTTGGGGTTTTTTTTTTCTGCCTTCCTTGGGAAGGTTGGGTGTGGATGACATTGGCCTGCAATCTTACCACTCAGGATGCTGAGGCAGGAGGATCACAAGTTTCAAGCCAGCCTGGCTTTCTTAGGGAAACTGTCTCAAGCTAAATAAATCAAACTATATACATATATAGTTTGATATATGTATGTATATATATATATATATATTATATATAATATCACATGCATTGTTGGAAATACGGATTTAAAACAAATCTGCTGAGCTGGAGTTGGTGTTGTACACCTTTAGTCCCAGCACTCAGGGGCAGAGGCAGGTGGATCTCTGAGTTCGAGGCCGGCTGGGTCTACAGAGTGACCCAGGACAGTCAGGGCTACACAGAGAAACCCTGTCTCAAACAAAAACAAAAACAAAACATTGAAAATTTATGACAGTTGTGGGGTCCGCCTAAATCCAACATAACTCAAACACCAGGTCAATGCAGATGACAAATATTTATTGTAATCAAGCCGCTACTGGTGGATCAGGGCCAAAGAACAGACTCGGGAGCTGAACTATGACCCTGAAGGGACGTTGTGCAGCACATTTAAAGGGTGAAACCATGAAGTGATGGGGAGCGGGGTTGGCTGGAGCATTGTCCAATCATATTTGACATAAGGGGTTGAGCAAGAGAGTTTCCATCAATCAGGATAGGAGTAGGTTCCTGGGAAGATGAACCTACTTTGACCCTGCCAGGGAGATGGAGACTTGCCCTTGAAAGGGCTGGATTCAGACAACTGTTGCCTTACAACAGAAGCTGTTCAGCTAGTGGGAAGTCACCAGCTCCCCTAGGGCCTGGTTAGTATTTAGGCAGCCTGCTTCTGGGTTGCCTAGCAACCTATGATGTCATCATGTGTTGCCAGCCAGGTAGTCACACCTGGCAGGTGTGGTTCAGTTGCTCCATGAAAGGACCAGCCTGCCACTTTGTCGCTCTCTTGCCTTCTTGCTCTGTGCTCTCTTCCTCTCTCCTGCTCTCTCCCCTTTCTCTCTCGGGGCGTCCCATCCCCTCCCCCATCGTGTCTTGCTCTCTCCTCTCTCTTCATCTCCAACCAATAAAGCTTTTTCATATAATATCTGTTGTGCATCACCATTTCACTAGGACCTTGAACTTACTTTCTCCCTATGATTAAATGGAGTCTGAAAATTAAATGGTAGTACTTTGAGTAAGTTCCTTTCGCTTGTTCCCAACAACATTTTGCACCGAGGAGAGCTATAACATGATTTTTCCACCTTAAGAGATGACAGTAATCTGTGATTACCCTATAGAAACTCCACCAAACAGCACTCGCTGCCTCTCATCCAATTCATATTTATAGGACCAAGAATTGAAACAAGGGCTTTGTGCATAGCAGAAGTCCCCCACTGCTGAGCACACACCCGAGTCCTTTTACTTTGAGACAAGGTCCCAGTAAACTGCCCAGGCTGGCCTCAAACTCGAGATCCTTCTGTCCAAGGCTCCTGAATTCCTGATTCCAGGCATGACCACGTCAGGCTCTCCAATTTGTTTCAGTCTAATTTCAGAGGCAGAGACCACCGGAAGTCTGAGGAGATTCCTGCTGTCCCTGCTTCTGGGTCAGCTGGACCTCAGGCCTCTGCACTATACCCAGGTGAGTTTGTTTCTTCTGCCACCGACTCCTGGAACTGAGTTATTTTTATTATTGTTTGCTTTTCTGAGCCAGGGCCTGCAAGGCTTAAAAGCACCCCAGGCAGGCCTCAAACTAGCTATCTAGCCAAAGATAACCTTGAACTGCTGATCCTTTCCTTTCAGCCCTCCGCAGAGATAGGATGACAGGCACAAGGGGGTCACACCCAGTTTCTGTGTTGCTGTGGCTGGAACTCAAGGCTTCCTGTATGCTACCGGCTGAGCCCCAGTCCTGTCCTGTCCAGACCAGTCCTGCCCCTCCCCTGGAAGATGGGTGACCCTGGCCCTTCCTTCCCTTCTCCCCTGGGCCCTGGGGATAGGATCCAAGGCCTTCCCCCTGAACTACTATCAGGAACTACTCTCCAAACCATGGTCTTCAGACTCTAGAAGATGCAGTAACTGAGCAGGGAGGTCACCAGCCGGAAGCAGATACCCATCAGAGGCTGGACCTGGTGGTGGTGGTGGGTGTCACAGGGCCCAAACCCCAGAAAATAGGCTGTTTGGAATGCATGGGGCAAATTGGGCATGGCGGCACACGACTTTAATCCCAGCACAGAGGCAGGCGGAGCTCTGAGTTCGAGGCCAGCCTGGTCTACCGACCGTTCCAGAGAGTTCCAGGACAGCCAGGGCCACACAGGGAAACCCTGTCTTTCGAAAAACCAAAAAGGATGCATGGGGCATCAGGCCGACAACCGTACCCTCTCCACGGAAGGCGCTGTACGTTTGGCCGCGCTGCCACCGTCTCCCGGGAATTTGTTAAACTTCCGGGGCACAAAGAAAGGCTCCAACAGTGTGTCGTTCTCCACAGATAACATCTGTTTAAAAAAAAAAAAAAGACAGGACACTTACTGGTCTTCGCAGAGGTGGAGATAAAGCCGGTCAGTCCAGATGGTAATCAGAGAGGCAGGAGGAACTTTTCAAAGGGAAGCAAGCAGCTGTAACTCCGACAGACAGACGGTGGTGAGGCACTGCTCAGGCAGGGGGTGAGCACCAGCCCTCCGGGGTGCCCTCACCTCCTGGAATCAAGCTCCTGGAAGTCCCTCTTCGCTGCTCCTGGCCTCAGAGTCCCCAGCCAGGCTGTCAGCAGTCACATCCCTGCCCTAAGGGCAAAGGATTTTTTTTTTCTTGTGGTTTGTTGTTGGTTTTTCTGTTTGTTTATTTTGGTTGGCTTGTTTTGTGTTTTCAAGACAGGGTTTCTCTGTGTAGCCCTGGCTGTCCTGTACTCGGTTTGTGTATCAGGTTGGTGTGGAACCCACAGAGGTCCGCCTGCGATTGCTGGAATTTGAGGCATGCCGGTTTTCTAGAAACATCCAGATCCCAAGGCTTTTCTATGGTACGCTAGAGTGGGTGTTTTGGTCACCTAGTCCTAACTTAGCAACTTTTAGCAAGTGCTCTGCTCAGGGCAAAGGCCCTTAAGCTTTGGGTCGCAGGCCGGCCGTCTCCTTCGGGCTCAGGACTCGTGGGGCCGGTGTGGGGGCAGAGCCGAGACTCCCTTTGCAGCCGGTCACCCTTCCCCCCTCCCCGCAGGCTTTTGCACACGACGCGCGGCGGGCGGCTTCACACGAGGCGGCGAGGACCTGGGATAAAGCGGGCGGGCGCGGGGCGCAGCGGTGGGAGCCGAGCGGAAGGTGAGTGCGCGCTGCCGTCGTCCCGCGCGCAACTTTGAGTGCGCGCACTGGGGGGAGTGCGGCATGCCGACCTTGGACAAGCAGAATCTGCTGGAGAGCACGCGTGGAGCCCGGTGAGTTCATGCCCCAAGGGGCGGGAATCTGGGCGGCATCCTACGCGCCTCCTCTTTGGCCGTCCTGGCTCTGGTTGGTCGGGCGGGGGCTCGAACTGGGATCCTGCCAGAGGGATGGGGTGAGGAGAGGCCAGAGGGGGAGGAAGTTGGCGGTGGCCCCGTAGCCTCGGGGATCACCTGTCTCACCCGGCCAGGCACACAGATCCTCAGCGCTGCCCGGTGGTGCAGCGGGAGAGTCGGGTTCCTGGAACCCCGCCTTCACTCCAGCACTTTGATCCCAGGCAGCCCTGAGGTGGGGAGGCCCTGTGCCCTCGGGTGCGGGTGCACTGAGCTTCGGTCTTTTGCTGCGCCCTGAACCAGAACTCTGCTCTCTCACAGCGACCCGCCCTTTGGCTAGTTCGCCAAGACTCTCCTCCAGGCCTGGGAAGGGGTGGAGGAGGACGGGACAGCCTAGAAAGGTCCCAAGACTCATTCTCCCCAGCATCTTACCTCTGATAACCCACCCGCCGGGCATTGCTGGGCTTGGAGTGCTCTTGCGCTGGAAACTCTGGGCCAGCAATACTCCCAGAGGCCGGCTCTGCGCCTCCTCCCTGCTGAGCGTTTCCTCTTGCTTCCTCTCACCGCCAGGTCTTACTTAGGATCTCTGTGGAAGAGTGACGCTGGCTGGACCCCTCCTGTGGACCTGCCCGCCGTTGAGCTGGCTGTCCAGAGCAACCATTATTGCCATGCCCAGAAGGATTCTGCCAGCCACCCTGACCCCAAGAAGCAGAGTGCCCGGCGCAAGCTCTATGTGGCCTCTGCCATTTGCCTGGTGTTCATGATTGGAGAAATCATTGGTAAGGCCATGCGTGTGACCTAAGTGAGGTCCGCGCGTGCGCGCTGCACTAATGGCTATCCCCGTTTTATCGAGTAGTTTTGATAGGTATTCTCCCGCCAAATTGAAGCTAAATTAAAGTACAGCAGCAGGTTTACGGGGGAGGGAGCAGCTCTCAGTGGGTTCACCAGTCCCAAGGAAAGAGGCCAGGGGTGTCGCCATGCAGTGGGGGGAGGGAGGGAGGCAACAGACAGAGAAGGAAAGAAAGAGCGGGCACATGCACAGAGTGAGAGGAGAGAGGGGGAGAGAACCAAAATCTTGGATTATAAAGTGAAGAGCCTCTGGGGGAGAGGAAGCCCAGCCGCCGGCTGGAAAGGTCAGGAGGAGGCCGGGTATGTCACCCATGCCCTGTAACAGGGAGGGACTGAGGGATGCTGGGAGAATCCGGAGGCCGGTCCGATTTTTATGTTAAATAGGTACCAAGCCAACAAGTTTACTTCTTTCTCTCTCTCTCTCTCTCTCTCTCTCTCTCTCTCACTCACTCTCTCACTCTCGCTCTCGCTCTTGCTCTCCTGCTCTTTCTTGTCTCACTAAGCAGCCTTGGCTGACCTGGAACTCATAACTGCCTGCGTCTGCTTCCAGAGCGTTGGGATTAAACGAGTGTAACACCGCCCCCATCAATACTTACCTATCTCTCTCTCTCTATTTATTTATTTATTTAGTGGTTTGTGTTGTTTTTTTTCCAAAGCAAGGTTTTTCTGTGTAGCCCTTGCTGTGGTAACTCCCTCTGTAGACCAGGCTGGCCTTGAACTCAGAGATCTGCCTGCCTCTGCTTCCCAAGTGCTGGGTTAAAGGCAGGAGCCACCACCACTGGGTTTAAGCGTTCATTTGGCTGGAGCCATGGCTCTGCAGTGCAGAGAGCCGGCTGTTCCTCCAGAAGACCTGGGCTTGATTCCCAGCCCCCACATAGTGGCTCACAGTCACCTGTTACCCTAGTCCTAGGGAATCAGGTGCCTTTTGCAGCTTCTGTGGGCACCAGGCATATGGTGTGCGTGCATACATGCAGCAAAACACGTGCACTTAAAGTAATAATAAAATAAGATAAGAGCATTTACTGAGCCTCTCCTTTTTCTATACCCAGTTGAACTTGATTGTCTATCTCTTCCTCCCCTCCTCCTCCCTCTCCTCTCCCCTCCCCTCCCTCTTCCTCTCCCTCCTCCTCCTCTTTCTTTTCTTCTTTTATTTTGAGATAGATTCTCCGTGTAGCCCTGGCTGTCCTGGAACTCACTCTGCAGCCCAGGCTACCCTCGAACTCAGAGATCCGCCTGCCTTTGCCTCCAGGATGCTGGGATCAAAGGTGTGCGCCATCACCTGAGCTTGATTTTCAGTCTTGACTTAAGTCTTTTCCACAGGAGAAATGGAGACACACGGTGGAGGCCACGTGCTCACACTGTGGGAGAGATGCAGAGACCTTAAGCCCAGTGTGTCTCCCAGGGCTTGTGGTCTCTGCTGACTCTCTGGGGTACTCGACCGTCCTCCTCTCACTTTGGCAGGTGGGTACCTGGCTCACAGCCTGGCCATCATGACCGACGCAGCCCACCTGCTCACCGATTTTGCCAGCATGCTCATCAGCCTCTTCTCCCTCTGGGTGTCTTCCCGACCGGCTACCAAGACCATGAACTTCGGCTGGCAGCGAGCTGGTAAGGATCCTCCGTGGGCCATGATGTTGAGGGCCATGATGTTTGATGTTCCAAACAAACGATGTTGAGGGCGTTTGTTTGGAATTGTAATGTTTTGAGTCAATGTCTCTGGTAGTCCAGGCTGCCCCTAATTCACTCTGTAGCCCAGGCTGGCTTCAGACTCATAGACACTCTACTGTCAGGAGCCTCTCAAGAACTGAAATGCTGTGTGCCATCACAGGGATGCCAGGCTAGAACTAGGCCTGCGGGGGGGGGGGGGTGTGTGTCCCTGAGCAAGCCCAGAAGGTAACTGCTATGCAGGAAGAGGGTGTCTGCCTTGGCTTCTGTCCTCTGGGACCCCCCGTCTGATGGCAGGCTTGTCGCCGGGATTCTGGTGAAGTCAAATTCACCTTACTGAGAAAGTTGTGGCCCAGAAAAATGACAATAGCACCAGCATTGCCTGTGACTGGGGACCGGCTCTAGTGGAGGAAAAGGTCAGCAAGCGCTGCCTTAGGCCGTTAGTGCACTTCTGGTTGGCACTGACACTCTTCCTGTATGGAGAGGTGGCCCAGTGTCCTCAGCCTCCCTTAGTCAATTGAGCAAAACGTGGCTTGGCGTGGAACAGCAGCTAGCACCTACTGCTGTTGGCTCGCAGCCTCAACTCTAGCCCTCCGGGGGTCTGGGCCCTCTTCTAGCCTGCTACCCTAATTAAAATAGGTAGTAACCCTACCTTTATTTGAGGGAAAGATACCCTACAGATGCACCTTTAATCCCAGCCCAGAGGAGACCGGTGAATCTCTTGAGTTCAAAGCTAGCCCGGTCTACATATCGAGAACACACACACACACACACACACATATGAAAGAGAGGCTGTCACATCCTTGCCTTGCCTTGTGTCCCACATTCTAGGATTAGAGGTGACCACGCTGGCTAGAGTACATATTACTGTCACTTTCTGCCCACACAGAGCAAACAAGATTGGCCTAGGTGAGAAAGTCTAGCCCTGACTTTCTCAGAAATGAGTTGGCGGGATAAGGCAGATCTTGAAACACCGTAGAGACCAACAAGGCCCAGATTTTACAGTGGAAGGGGTTGACAGCAGAGAGTAGCACCGAGGGCTCGGGGTTTCAGTTGAGATTGGGCTCTCATCCAGAGATCCTTGGAGCCTTGCTGTCTGTCCTGTCCATCTGGGTGGTCACTGGAGTGCTTGTGTACCTGGCTGTGCAGCGATTGATTTCTGGAGATTACGAGATCGAAGGGGCCACCATGCTGATCACGTCGGGCTGCGCCGTGGCTGTGAACATCATGTGAGTGGGGGGGGGCAGCTCCCTGTGGTTCACGCCCACCCCCACTGCCCCATGCAGAGCTCCCCCTTCCGGCCCCGGCCACCAGGACAGAATGCCCCTCATACGCTCACCTCTGGCATCTGCTACACGTTGGGCCAAGGACGTGGGAGGTGTTAGGTGTGCACCCCATCATTTCACCCCCGCTGCGCCAGATGAGGCTGACATGGCCAAAACTGTTCTCCACAAAGGAAGGGGGGTGGGGTGGGCAGAGCATGAGTTTGGGCCTTTCGTCTCCTCTTATCGCTTGTCTCATTCTCCCCACTTGTAACGTGAGGGGATGAGCCAGATGACTTCCTCCTCGCCCCCTTGCTCTGAGATTCAGCTTTGGGGATTGTGCCCAGATAACCTTCCATTATGGGCAGAGCTCTTTGCCATGTGGCTAGGAGCCAAGGCTGTAGGGCCGCAGTCCTCAGCGTTGGAGGGTCACTGGGTGCTGAGGCTACAGAATTCCACCCTCGGGGAGGCCACCCTAATGGGCAGACTGTGCCTGGCTGCCTTGAAACCACTGCAAGCTCACCGAGTCCCTGGGCTTCATCTGCTCCCGCAGAATGGGATTGGCCCTCTATCAGTCGGGACATGGGCACAGCCACGGCCCTGGGCACAGCCACGGCGATGACCGAAGCCGAGGCGACAGCAGCCAGCAGCAGAACCCCAGCGTTCGAGCTGCCTTCATCCATGTGATTGGGGACCTTCTGCAGAGTGTGGGGGTCCTGGTGGCAGCCTACATTATATACTTCAAGGTCAGAACTGGACACAGAGGGAGAGGGGTGGGCAACTTTCTCGTCCACTCACACAGAAGCTGTGAAGCTGGACCTCCAGGACGGGCGTGTTGCCGAAGCCTGGGCGTTGCTTATCACACACAGGCACTGAGATAAAGAGCCATGCGTGGGGCCGAGGCTGTGTGATGAGTGAATTCCTTGGTCTCGTTGAATGAACCTCAGTTTCCCCATCTTTAAAAATGGGAATGGTGGGGGCATGGCTCAGGGGAGGATGGCTCAGCGGTTAAGAGCACTGCCTGCTCTTCCAGAGGTCCTGAGTTCAATTCCCAGCAACCGCATGGTGGCATACAACCATCTATAATGGGATCTGGGTGCCCTCTTGTGACACATAGGTGTACATCTAGGTAGAGCACTCATACATTAAATATATTATTATTATTATTATTATTATTATTATTATTTTAATGGGAATGGTAAGGTCAATGCTGAGGTCTCTTTTTAGCTCCGCCTTTGTCTCAGCTCTTCAGGAAGAGATGTGTTCTGTCCTGGAGAATAGAGTAGAAAACTGACACAGACTAGGCCAGAGTGAGGCCTGAGCTCACCCTGAAGAGAGGAACTCTCCCTGATAGCGCGCTGGGAAGGAGACAGCGAGGCCCGGCTTGACGCTGGGGAACCCCAGGCTTGTCTTCTTTTGGTGCAGCCGGAGTACAAGTACGTGGACCCCATCTGCACCTTCCTCTTCTCCATTCTGGTCTTGGGGACAACGTTAACCATCCTGAGAGACGTGCTCTTGGTTCTCATGGAAGGTAACTGGGCCCCTAGGACTTTGAGTGAATGAATGGGGTCGGGGCGCGTGTTTGTCTGTGTTCACCGGTTAGGTTGTGTGTGGAAACCAGAGATTGCCACTGGAGTGTCTTCCTCAACGTAATTTTTGTTGTGTTTGTTTTGTTTGATTTTGAGACATGGTCTCACTGTAACCCCGGCTGTCCTGGAACTCACTATGTAGACAAGGCCGAACTCAAACTCACAGAGATCCACCTGCCTCTGCCTCCCAAGTGCTGGCATCGCTGAGCCCAGCTCTCTCACCTTTTTTTTTTTTTTTTCCAAGAAGTTTTCTCTGTGTAACAGAGCCCTGGCTGTCCTGGATTCACTTTGTAGACCAGACTGGCCTTGAACTCAGAGATCTGCCTGTCTCTGCCTCCCGAGACAGGGTCACACTGTGTAGACCAAGCTGGCCTTGAACCCACAGATTCGTCTGCTGCTGCCTCCAGAGTGCTAGGATGAAAGGCACCTACCCTACCTGGCTCACCATATTTTTTTAGTTGCTTACTGGGGTCTTTTATTGAACCTAGAGCTGTCTCGTTTCTCAAAGCAGACTGCTTGTGCTCCATTTCCTACCCAGCTCTAGGGTTACTGGAGAGGGCCTTCACGTGTGTGTGTGTGTGTGTGTGTGTGTGTGTGTGTCTCGGGTACTGGATACTTGAACTCAGGTCCTCACTTTCCCCACTGAGCCTTCTCCCTAGATCTGGGACTCTGTAATTAAATGAAGCTCATTGGCTCAGTCCTAAGGAATCTGCCTGTCTCTGCCTTCCCTGTCTGGGATTGCAAGTAGGCACTGCTGCATGCCTGCCTGCCTGCCTGCCTGTGAGTAGCATGAGTTCTGAGGGATCTAACATCCAGCACTGTTCCCGACTTTGGAGCTCTCTCTCAGCCTGTGGCCCACAGAGTCTGACCAGCTTTAAGGACGGCGTGAGTGTAGGAAGAGGCACTGCGCTGTGGGAGCTGGGGTCTGGAACCTAACTCGGGTCCTCTGGACCCTGAGTCCTGAGTCGACCCGATGTGACAGGCCCCAGCAGCGCTCACCCTCCCTCTAGGCCCAGGGGGTGCCTCCTCCCCTGCTGGGAGCGTGTCTTCCCTGGCTGGTCATAGGGCTGGGTGACCTTGGTAACACCTGGAGCCCCAGCCTCCCCCACCTCATCAGGTGCCTTTTCCCAGGACGACAGAGATTGGGGTGTTTGGGGTTCTTTGTTTTTGTTTTGTTTGGGGGGGTTAGGGTTTTAAAAAGGGGTCTCTCTCCGTCTGTAGCCCCGGCTGTCCTGGATCTCACTGTGTAGCCCGGACCAGCCTCAGATTCGCAGAGATCCATCTACCTCTGCCTAGGATCAAAGGGTGCTGGGAATCCAACCTTGAGCAGACATTGCTCCCAACCACTGAGTCACCTTTCTAATCCTTTGTTGTTTTTGAGACAGGCGATCTATATACAGCTCAAGCTGGACCGCCCTGGCCTCCCAAGTACTGGGAAAATAGGAATGCACCACCATAGTTACTGAGTGAATGCGCACCAGCTTAGCTCTTCCCATAGGTCTTCGTGCCTTCACCCTGTTCCTGCCAAGTGCTGAATGGTCTTCTTGGAACCTCTAATTCACAGGGCTCACTCACACTTCAGGCCTTGGGGCTTAGGCCAAAGCCATGGCCTTCTGGAGGGACAAGGACTCTTGCTAGAGTAGAGTACCAGCCTAGGGGTGGCAGGGTCTTTAAAGCCGTCTTCCCTAACAAGATGACTTACCATTCTGGGCCACATCTGTAATCCCAGCACCCAGGAAGCTGAAGCTGAAGTTATTTATTTATTTATTTTGGGGGGGGGGTGTTTAGTGAGGTTCTGCGCTAGGCACTGACCTTATAGCCGTGAGCAAAACTAGACTGATGCCTGCTTCCCCTCTTGACATGATGGATACTTTAATGAGGTCATTCTGGGTGAAGTTACCTGTGACAGGACAGAGTGAGGGTTGGGGAGCACATGGAAACGGCTGGCCAAGGAGGACTTCTGAGGAGGTGGCCCTGGAGAAATAGGGTAGATGGGGACGGCAGTGTCCTCTAGCATTCTGCTTGATGTCCCCAGGGACTCCCAAAGGCGTGGACTTCACGGCTGTGAGAAATCTCCTGCTGTCCGTGGATGGCGTGGAAGCCTTACACAGCCTGCACATCTGGGCGCTGACAGTGGCCCAGCCAGTGTTGTCCGTCCACATAGCAATCGGTGGGTGAAGCCCTGGGGTGATTCCTGAGGGTTTGCCAACCCCGGGCCCCATGCTGAGCATTTAAATGCCCTCTGATCCTTACCACTGCTTTTATGGAGGAAGATAAGCCGAGGCCCTGTGCGAGGTGGTCAGGTCTCCCCGTACAGGCGTGAGGAGTGGGTTGACTGGGCAGGGGAGAGGGATTGGCGCTGTAAGGCCACAGGTTCTTGCTCTCAGGCTTGCCTGATGAGGGATGGACCCTAGCATTTCCTGTCCCCAGGGGTAGACATGAGGCCTAGGATCCCATGTCTCTCTCTTCCCAGCTCAGAATGCTGATGCCCAGGCCGTGCTGAAGGTGGCTAGGGACCGTCTCCAGGGGAAGTTCAATTTCCACACCATAACCATCCAAATCGAGAGCTACTCTGAGGACATGAAGAACTGCCAGGAGTGCCAAGGCCCCTCGGACTGACAGACGCTAGCCCACCGGAGGCACGGTCAGGACCTGTGGGTGGCACACTCAGTGTCCAGCTAGGACTGCAGTTTCAAGGCATAGCCCAGCCCGCTCAGTGGCACTCCCCTTGGCTTCTGTGAGCCCCCAGGAGGGGGACAAGGCAGACGAGGCCCTACTTCTTTTCCAGGGCTGTGTTTGGGCTCGATCCTCAACTGACTACATCCTACCGCAGCTGGAAACACACCCAGGCACAGAAGAGGGGACTCGGGGTGTCCTGTATGACGCAGGGCCTTTGTGTCCTGAACAGAAAATTGAACAAGATAAAATGTTAATGGGAAGCCCTTTTGTAGGGTCAGTCTCATCGATAAAATAATTTTGAAGCGCACTCAGAAGGAAGGTCTGAAGGCATTTTATTAGAATTTTTTTTGGGGGGGGACCAACCAGGCAAGCTGTTAATCTCAGCAGCTGCTGGAAGAAGAGTGAGGGAGAAGGAAGAAAACCTTTTGAGTTAGGGTCAGCAGAGGCGTTCTGTAAACAACTGAATGGCTAAGTGGGAGAAGGGGGTAGAGAAACAGAAAGCATGAACACCCCTCTGCCACACACAAACACACACATGTAAAATTTAAAGATGAAAATGAAGGGGCTGGGGAAGATGGCTCAGCGGTTAAGAACACTGGCTGCTCTCTCTAAGGACCCTGGTTCAATTCCCAGGACCCACGTGGTAGCTCACAACTGTGTAACTCATTCTGGTGAATCTGGCTCCGTCACAGACACCAAATGTTTATAAAAATAAATATTTTTTTTTTAAATGAGATAGAAAGGGGGAAAGGAGAAATCATACTTTTGAATTAGAATTTGGGAAAACAAGCTAACTTAGCCATTAAGGTATCTTATATGTGGGGGCTGGGCCCCACAGAGCTGTAAGTACCCTGCTCAAGGAGAACACTCCTTGCTCCTTTCAGTTCCTTAGCATGTCTTTGGGTGACTACCAGGCCCAATTGAATGAATTCTATAAAAAGTGGGGGGTGGGGGCCTGGAGATGGCCTGGGCTGGTATAGAACCCAGTTTCCATTCTTCTGACCGGGAGGAATTTGCTTCTAGGGGAGACTGGCCTCAAGGACAAGGCTTTACCCAGTGGGTCCCAGCAACTGCCTCTCTGCACAGTTGAGAGCAGAGCCTATTTCTATGACACAGCACACCGAGGCCATGGGGCCTGAGTTCATACGAATCCCTGGAGATGAGGTGTTAAAGGGTACCTGAGGCTTTCCTGGGCCTTGGTCGTTTTGGCTGTGGTCCCCATGTGGACTTCCTGGAGGAGGAGTCCTTTTAGTTGTGAGGAACCTGCCTGCTTCCTTCCTGGTCCCCCAGCCCAGGGAGCTGTGTCAAAAGTATCATAACCTTGACACAGGTATCAGGGACAGATTCTAGCCCCAGGGCCTGAGACTTCCCTTGACCTGACACTATCCCAGGAGATTGTAGCTCCTGTTCTGTTGCCGAGGTGACAGGGCCTAGTTTGAACCCAGGGATGAGGACCCACACGGGCCCACAAGGACGGCCGTTCTTGAGTTAGAAGAATCCTTAGAGCTGGCTTGAGGTCACGAGACGCAAGAGGAAGAGAGCTGTCCGCAGCCTTACAGGGGTGGCAGGCCTATCTCTTAGGAAACCCGGGGCCAACGTGTACATCTGTTACTGTAGGCCGGTCCTTGAGGTTGTCACTGCTCAGTGCCTGTGACTCACAGAGACCAGGAACTTCGTGACGCCTCCCCCACAGGACTGTGAAGACGGCCCAGCCTGCCACACACCTGCTGGTTGTGTGCTGGCCGTTTTGACCGGTGTCCTGGAAAAGGCTGTTGTGAAAGGCCAGGCAGGCGTCCCCACTGTCCTGCGTTGACTCAGAGGAAAGGCTGGGTGTTTGCCTCCCCTAGCACCATGCCATGCTTTAAATAAATGGCTAGCCCTTGTTTTACGTGTAGTGAGTGTTTTGCCTTACAGGTATGTATACATATACATACTTGGGACCGCCGGAGGCCAGGAGGCGGCATCAGATCCTCCGGAAGGTGGAGAAGGTGGTTGTGAGGGGCCACGTGGGTGCTGGGAACTGAACTCGGCATCTCTTAACCCAGTTGTGTATCTGCACAAGTGAGGCCGTTGTGTGTTCCGTGGTGCTTGTGTGTAGGTCAGAGGACAACTTTGGGAAATTGGTTCTCTCTCTTTACCGTGAGCTCTTGGGGTGGGGGGTGTGGAATTCAGGTCACCAGGCCTGTACTTTCAACCACGGAGCCATTTCACTGGCCCTCCTACCTCTGCCTGCTGGAATTACAGGTAACAGCAGATCCATCTGGCTTTTTCAAGTTTTAATTTCAGGTAGCCCGTGGTCACCTCTAGTTCTCATCCTCCTGAATAGCTGAGTTACTGCTTGCAACATGTAGCACCCCCCCATCCCCTCCCCCTCCTCTCCTTTGAACCTCAGCGCTGTCACTGGCCGCCTGTGGCTGAGGGTCAGGTTTGTGAGGATCCCTATGGACCTGGAACGGGGAAGCTGCACTCCTCCAGTCTCAAGCCTCCACCAGCCCCAGGATTCTGACCCTCACAGCGTGTCACCTCCTTACACCTCTCAAGAGATGGTCATTGATGTCCTCTCTGTGGTTGCCGATGTTTTGAGATGGGTCTCGCCGTGTGTGTGGTCCAGGCTAGCCTGAGACTTTCAGAGGATCTCCTGGCCCCGCCCCTGCCTCCGAGTGCTGGGTCTACGGCCATGAGCTACCAGAGCCTCCTCTTCCTTTTAAAGTACGTGCACACGTACTCATCTATATGTGAACCACAAGTGTGTGGGCGCCTGTGGAGGCCAGAAGAGGGTTTTGGATCCCCTTGGACAGGAGCTACAGGTGTTTGTGAGCCACCATGTGGGTGCTGGGAACCCAGGGAGGGTCCTTTGCAGGAGCAGTAAGCATTCTTAACCACTGAGCCCTCTCTCTAGCCGCACCCCCCCCCCCCCAGCTTTCATTATTATAGATGAGGAAAGGAAGGTTCAGAGAGGCAAAGTCATAGCTGGTGTGAGACAGATGTCGTCATTCCTGGGCTCATCGCAGTTACGGCAAGGGTCGAGACCTCCTCTGAGCTGAACGTTAGTACAGCTTTAGTACAGCGTGAGCCCTGAATCCAACGGTGCCTTCCGCCACCCCGAGGCTGTCCATGGTCCTAAGGTGCCTCTTGTTCCTCGGCTGGCGCTGGCACTGGGTGCCCTCTTAATCCTTGGCAGGCTGCCTAGACTGCAGCTGTGTGAGTCCTCACCCTCAACCGCTCTTGACCCTGGGCCAGATCACCTCCCTCCCCACTTTAATCTCCAGTCCCCTCCCCCAGCCCCCTTGCACCTCAAGCTTCTGACAGCTCCCGGCTGCCAATAGACCGGCCTGCTTTCCACACCCAGCTGTGACAGGCTCCAGGAAGGACCTGAGTCATACAGGGGCCAGGAGTGAAGCTGGGATCGGGTGGGAGGCCTCAGGGGACAGCCTGTTCCAGCCAGCAACCTAGTCACGGGGGTTTCCACAGGGGCCGAAACCATCAAAGAAAACACCCGCTATCTTGAGCCTGGGTTCGACGCCCCCCACCCACCCCACCCCACAGACCGGAGTCACCCCACGACGCTCCCCCTTGACCCTGAGCGCCCCGCCACACCGCGCAGCTGCTGGAAGGATATTTATAGCCCGAGCGTGAGTGGGCAAGGACACGTGCTTTATTTCGGAAGCGATAATTCCAGTTCCAGGTGGATGAACCCAGGAAAAGCAGCGTCCCCTCCCCCAGCTCCACTCTCACCTACAGGTCGCTGAGGACGCCCCTCCTCCTCGCGACCAGCCCCTCTGCCACCAGCCCCAGCTCCAAGAGTGCGCAGGCCAAAGTGGACTTCTGTCATATTTATTCCTCCCGCGTTTTTAGACCGGGGAGCTGCACACACCAGGGCCCCTCCAACTCTCAACTTGCCCTCTTCTCCGTAGTCTCTAACTCCATTCGGTCTGGCATTGTGGCTCACGCCTGTAACTCTGGAACACTGGGGAAACTGAGACCAGCCTGGGGAGTTCCAGACCAGCCTGGGTTACAGAGTCAGATCTCTACCGCCCTTCCCCCCTCCTCCAATCAAGAAAGAACCAGGGGTGGCGGTGCACGCCCTTAATCCCAGCACCCGGGAGGCAGAGGCAGTTGGGGTGAGTTCAAGGCCAGCCTGGTCTACAGAGTGAGTGCCAGAACTACACAGAAAAACTGTCTAGAAAAACAACAACAAAAAAGAAACAACAGAAATTCAAGAAAGCCAAGCCAGCCTCTGGAGGGACAGCGTGCAGCAGCTGACCTCTAGTGGTCCAGGCTGGTAGTGCAGCGCGGCTGGTCACCCCAGAGACCAGCGTGTGCGGCGCGCCTGGCTCGCAGCACCCAACCCTCTGGTAATTCCGGGCTCCTGGCCTCTTTGCTCACGTTTGACTGAGCCTGGCAACTCTGGTGCCCGCGGATGTCTGTTCTCTTCGCTCCAGAACAAGGAGCAGAGTTTTGTCTCGTGCACGTTCCCTTCCGCCTGTGTTCCACCACGGGGGCATCCCAACTGATACTCTTGCAGCTATTGGTCAAATATTCCAAAGAGAGGAGGGCAGAAGCCGCCCTCCCGAGCTCCCAGGCCCACTCGGCGTGAACCGTGCAAGGCCTTCGAGACCGCCACGGAGGTGAGTGGGCATGCGGGTCAGGCACGGGTGAGGCAGAGATGACAGGAAGGCTTTTCAGGGAACCGGATCAGCCTGTGGTCGCTGGTGCCGCCCCCGCCCCCTCAGGGCTCTGCCGTGATTGGCCAACCAGGACACGGCTTTTCCCATCCCAGGACGGTTCTCTTCTGTCAAGCCCCTCGCCTAGGGCTTCTCTAAACTGCGGTACTTCTTGCGTTGCACGGACACCGGGTCCTTGAACAGCACCGGGTCCAGACGCACTCGAGAGGAAACCAGCGGCATGTGGCCGAACCCTGCTGCCAAACGGTTGATGCAGTCCTGAGGCGGGGGCTGAGGCTCCGGCCCGGGTCGTGGACCCCCAGCAACCTAAGGGGTGGGAGGAAAGCGTATCCACGAAGCTTATTTTACCGAACCCTCATCCCTGCCGCAGCAAAGATCTGAATTAGACAACACAAGAGAGCCCATCCCCCGAGGCCCCTCACCAGTGGGGCAGGCCCCTGCCGCTCCCTGCCGTAAGGTACCTTGATAGGGGGCAGCTTGGTGACGGCTGCTACCAGGAAGTTCATCAGGACGTCCACGCAGGTGGGAGTCTCGTCTGCTATGGTCCTCAGGGACTTGGGCAGGGAGGTGAAGAGAGTGTGGTAATACCTGTGAGGTGCGAGGTAGGCCTTAGGCCGGGGATTGGGACAGACAGAGGCTGTAGACCTGAGCCCCGCCCCCTAGCTCCTTTCACAGGGAGCTCCCATCCTGGCCGTGACTGGCTCTCCGCGCCCTGTGTGTGGTTTCGGGGTGAGCACCGACGTATTCCCTATGGCCCCAGTCTCTCCTGGGGGCCCGCTTTCTGGGCTCCCACGTCTGAACTCTGACGGAACCAGATCTGGTGGCACGGGGGAGTACTATGTGGTCCGAAAGCCACCAAACACAGCTACCCAAGAGACCAGCTTCAGGGAGGCCGCAAGCTGGGTCCACTCCGCCCCGGAGGGTTCTGCCTCATTCTGAGAGCTCCATGCAGACCCTGGGAAGAATCTGCATAAAGTTCCATGATATGCAGAGAAGGTTTGGACAGATCACAGGGTCTCTCTCAAGAGGCCCCAGAAGCCAGGCCTGGTGGGGAAGGGCCCGTGTAATGTCGGCACTCGGTGCTCGGAAGACCTGGAGACTCATACTTGAGATCAGCTTGGGGTTTATGTTTCCCCAGGCTGACCTCAGACTCACTATCCAGCTGGGCGTGACCTTGAACACGGGATCCCCTTCATTTCGACGGACCATTGCTGGGTTTACAGGCGTGTGCCATCTGCCCAGTTTGGGCATATTCATCGGTTGGCATCTTCAGTACTGAGGATGGACCCCAGGGTATCACACATGCCCTACAAGCACAGCTGTCTATACCCCAGCCCAGCTTAACACCACCTTGCTTCAAAACAACAAAAACAAGCGGAATGATGCTCCCGAGATCACATCACTGGGAGCAGGTTGACCTCGGCCTTGAACCTTGCCTCTAGACAGCAGGAACCCACCTACTCCTAGGTCAGGACCGGAGCCTCTGGCCCTTTATCCCTGTGCCGGGGCCAGGGTTTGCACCTGTGGTAGAAGGCAGCCGTGTTGAGGACCATGGAGAATTCGTTGGCCATCTCAGTACTGTAGCCCCAGCCACCCCGGGCCTCATCCCAGAAGTGGCTGCATGTCAGAAAGCCCACCAGCCGCTCAGGAAAGCTCTGCCACACCACAAAGGCAAAATCCACCTGCAGAGGGATTTGAGTGAGCTGTGAGGAGGAATTTCCTGACCAAAATCCTTTTACAGCCTATGGTCATTGAGACCACCCTGGCTGATGGCTTGGGGCAGGGCTTAGGGGACAGGGAATCAGAGCCACTGCTTGAAGCTGTTTTGAGTTTTTTGTTTTGTTTTGTTTTTTAAGATTTATTTATGTATTCAGTATTATGCCTGCATGTATGCCGACGGGCCAGAAGAGGGCACCAGATCTCCTTATAGATCTTTGTGAGCCACCATCTGGTTGCTGGGAATTGAACTTAGGACCTCTGGAAAAGCAACCCATGCTCTTGACCTCTGAGCCATCTCTGGATTTTGATTTTTCTAAACAGAGTTTCTTATAGATCCGCCTGCCTCTTGCCTCCCGAGCCCTGGGATTAAAGGCATGTACTACCATGCCGTTTTACTAAAAGTTTAACATGAGTGTTTCAGGGGAGCTCCAGGGGAACCTGTCCAGCTGGGAGCCCCCTCTATGTCACATTTCTAGCAACAGGCTGGAGCTCAGGGCATGGGACCCCCTCGGGCTTTGTCCACGTCGTACCCAAAATCTCTTGGGCCGAGCCCTCACCTCACTGGTAGAAAGAATGCTGTGGGCATCAAGGCTGAGGACCACATTGGTGTTGATGCTGCCGTATGGGAAGAAGCGGTCGCTGACCTGTGGTAGGGCAGAGGGAGCTGAGGGCGACACGCCATGAGAACCGCCCCTCAACACTGCTCACCCCAAGTGAGTGTGAGTCCTCAGATCGTGTGTAGAAGGGGGAGCCAGGAACGCAGAAGCCTGCCCACGAACCTGGATTGCAGCTTCCCCTCTGGCTCTTACTAACCCTGGATCAAATGATTTGAAAGAATCAGACTTGGAGGGATTTCTCCCCACCCCTTATCCCAAACATCCAGGCAGTCTCCTGCCTCCTACATCCCAGGAGCTCCAATGCCCTAGAAGTGCACTGCCCAGGGCCAGGGAACGAAGGGTGTTTGGTGTGCAGGACCCGGAGTGCAGCAGACAAATCCACACCACTGAGCCCAACCCTGGTATAAGAACATCACCCCACTAACCCTGCAGCTGGAACCCATGGCCCAATTCCTTCAGACCCACACAGAGTTCCTGCTTGTCTCAAAACCTCCTGTGTCTGTCCTCCATTGGGACTCCTCCCCCTCACCTTCCTGTGGCCCTCAATGACCGTCAAGGGCACCACTGTCTTGGGCCACCTGTCAGGGGGTGGCTTCACACTGCTCCAGAGAATCAGGATCTAGAGAGAAAGGGGACTCATCTGAAGTCCGGGATCAGGTTGGAAGGGCAGTCCCAGGGGGCTCAGTGGGGTGGGGGTTCCTTCATTGCACTTGGTCTTAAGGCCTCTGCCCTCACGGAAGGCAAGAGTTCTGGCTGAGACAGGGTGATGGCGCATGCCTGTAATTCTAGCATTTAGGAGGCAGAGGGAAGCAGATCTCTGAGTTCAGAGCTAACCATGACTTCACAAAATTGTCTCCAAGTGTTTTGTTTTGAACTGTGGTAGCCCTAGACTGGGTTCTGACCTCCCCCCCTCCTTTTTTTTTTCCTTTGAGACAGGGTCTCTCTGTCCCTGACTGTTTTGGAACTCTCTATGCAGACCTGGTTGGCCTTGAATTCACAGTCTGCCTCCTCCTCCCAAGTGCAGTGATTAACGCCATAGGCCACTGCTCGGAGCTCTGGGCTCTGACTTGATAGGCACTACCGCCATCTCCCCTCTGAGGCCTGCATCCTCCTCTTCCTTTGGCATTTCCTGCTCAACCCAAACCTCTCCGCCCTGGCCTCGCAGCTTCTTCCTCTGAGAGCCCACCTGGCATCGCTGGTGGCTTTTTGTTGCTATTTAGATTGAGCTACTGTTGTTAAGTGCATGAGTGTTTTTGCCTGCGTGTCTGTGCGCCACGTGCCTGCCCGGTTCCCACAGAGGTCAGAAGAGGTGCCAAATCCGCCAGAACTGGTGTCACGGATAGCCGTGAGCCATCGTGCCTGTGTGGGTTGCTGAGCCTGGGTCCTCTGAAGGAACAAGCACTCTGAAGCCCTGAGCCTTTTCTCCAGCCCTGTTTGGCTTTTCTTTGCTTTATGGCTTTTGAGATAGGATCTTGTTACGCAGTCTTGGCTGCCCTTACACTCACTCACAGTGTGGCCCAGGGCTAGCCTGCCTTCAACATTCCCCCGCCCTTACTTAGTTCAAGGGTTGGAACTACTGGCATGAGCAACTACACCTAGCAACCTGTGTCCTCTGGAAGTGAGACTCGATCTGTTGGTACTAGGAACTGATGACATTACAAACCACAGGAGGAGTTCTCTCCTGTTTTTTCTTTGGTCCTCAACACTGATGATGCCTCAGGCCTGGCCTCAAAGTGACATTGAAAGAATGAATGGATGAATGAATGAATGCTTCTTTCTCCAACCTCACCAAGAAGCACCAGCTCTCCTAGGGCTTCACCAATTCTGATGGAGTTTGGAGAAAGAACAAGAAACCTGAGACTTGGAAGTCTGCAAGGATCTCTGGAAAACCTCCCTGTGCCTTCCCCCAGATGTGTGGTCTTGCTCCGTTCTTTCCGTCCACCCTGGCTCCCAGGACTCCAGGTGTCAGGGGACAGACCTGGGCACAGTGCCGGGAACCTGCTACCTCCTGGATGAGCTTCAGGAGGGGCTCTCCAGAGGCCTCCACCCAGATCAGGGCGCTGAAACTGTTCTCAGGGCTGGTGCCTGAAGGGAGGAGACACAGGTGTTAGGAGGGAGAAGATGGAGCCTGTTGGAGGAGAATGACCTGAGTTGGGGGAACCCCGAAGAACCAGAAGAGATGCTCGAGTTTGAGCGAGTGTCTGCAGATGAAACACGGAGCAAACCCGGAGAGAGCCGAGGTCACCTCAAGTTGGCCCACCTCCAGGACATACCCTGTTGCAGGTGATAAAAGGGGAAGTCTTGCAGGCTTGTGGAAAACGTGGGCAGAGCTAGGAGTGCCCCCGGGGGGCTGTTCCACATCAGCGACGGGTGAGCTGATGCACCCCAGATCCGGTCCTGGATGATCTGTAGAAAGAGGGGAAGGCTTGCAGGGGGTGTGGCTACTGTCTGCCAGCAGGCTGTGGGTGGGGCCCGGGGAAGGGCGGGGCCTCGGGGGAGGAGTGTGGGCAGAGATAACTCTACCAGAGGCACTTAGCCCCCCTCCCCCCCAAGTCAGGCCAGGTTAAGAGCCTCTTAGGCTGAACAGCTGAGTAGCTAGAGGCCAGAGGAGGCGACTCTGGTGGGAATGTCCTGGTGATAGATGGTGACAGGCCCATGCTTCCCCTCTTTTCCTCACTCCCACTCTGAAAGAGCCAGACTTTTTCACAACGGAGGACCCGGGGCTGCTTATGCCATCAGTTAAGAGTGATCATATGTTTGGAATCCATAGGCCCCAGTGGCCCCCACTGGCAAGGGAAAGCTCAAGATTGGAGAAAAATGTGTGGCCGGGATCGCACAACCAGGATGGATTCTTCCCAGAAGCATCAAGGAAGGAACCGCAACACAAGAGGAAGACCTCTAGGAGGAGAAGGAAGGAGAGGAGGAGGGGTAGAGGGGTGTCCGGTCCCCATGAATGAAGTCCCTTCACCTCTAGGGTGGTATGGATGACTTTTTCCACTGAGGAGAAGTAAGCAGTCCACAGAAACTGGGTCTGCTGGCGCAGGGCGAGAACCCGAGAAGGGAGCATCTCACGGAGGGCAGCCAGGACCTGGAGGCAGAGCAGGAGAAAGAGGCGGCCTGAGGTCCAGCCCCTGACTGATCCCGGAAGGAGAAGGCTGATCCCAGACGTCTGGGAACTAGAAACTCCTAGTGATGTGTAGCTTGTATGAAGAGTCACACAGAGCTGGTTTTAAGTGACACTATGTTAGGGGACGTGGCACATGCCTGTAAATCCTGACATTCAGGAGGCTGAGACAAAAGGATCTTGAGTTCAAGGCCAGTCTGGACTACGTAAGGAAGAAACCTTCTCTTTAAAAAAAACACACACAAAAAAAAATCAAGGGTAGGGGTGGCTGGGGATGTGGCTCAGTTAACAAAGTGCCTACACAACACAGCACGGACAGAGCCCTGGGCTTGATCCCCAGCACCACATCGCCGTGGACACATAGCTGTAATCCCAGCATTCAGGGGCTGGAGGCAGGAGGCTCAGAAGTTCAAGATATTCCAGGCTGCACAGGGTTAGAGGTCAGCACGGGCTACCTGAGACCCTACCCAAAATAGTGAAGTGAAGGGGGTGGGGAGACAGTAGCTGTTGCAAAGCCTCCAATCTCCGTTTCTCCGTCTGTGGAATGGGTGCATTAAACGCCTCTCTCATAGGTGGCTGTAGAGACTCAACTAGCAGACGAACATTTCCATTTAGTGCTCAGGCCGTGCGGAGACTCAGTGAATAAATGACGGCACGCTTGCCTGTTCCTGGGTCTGTTTATTTGGAGACTGTCCCAGGCTGGCCTTGAACTTGCTATGTAGCTGAAGATGGCCTTCACACCTGCCTCACACACCCCAGGGTCGGGGACCGTATGTGGGTCGCCACGTCCTGTTGAAGGCGGGCACCGCTCACTTTCCTGCCTCCGCCCCACTGCCCAGACTTCACACAGCAGATCCACACACTGTGCAGACCTGGGCAACGTTAGTTTCATCAGATGGAAGAGATTCGGCATCGTTCTCCTTTCCTTTCAGCAGAGCCCCGGAAATCACCTGATCTAACTTATCCCATTATAGAGATGGCAGACTGAGCCTGAAAGTGGTTCCGAACTCGCTCCCAGCACCCTCCAGAGGCACCACCTTCATCTATGTCTATAAGAGCCCCAACAGGGAGGTGATAGGTATAGGAATGACTGCTAAAAGGGGGCCAAGTTCCTAGGGTCCCGCCCCTGACTCCCCCCATGCCGTAGACCCTGAGCTACCTGCAGCGGGAGCCTCTTGTCAGCAATGATGGCTGCCTTGGTCCAGTCGATGACTTCAGAGAAAGGCAGCTCCCAGCGAGGGCTGAGGAGCACAGGGATACAGCCGGCCTGGGGGGCAGGGCAGTCATTGGGGCGCCCAGCCCTTCCCTGCACACACTCACCACCCCAATCCAAGATTAGGGGAAAGGACAAAGAGGGGGAGAATTTTCGTGGGGGCGGGGGGCAGAGAAGCCCCTTTCTATGTGCACGTGCCCAGCCTTCCTGCTAGCTCACCGGCAGAGGTACAGAGGGAGGCTAGGGGGTACTCGGGTTGGGGTGTACCTGAAGGGCTTGGAGGAAGCAGGAGGTAGCAGCTCGGTGGCCAGGGATGAGGCAGAAGGTGGCGTTGGGTAGTGTGTCTCCTGGGTAGGTCCTGAGAAGGTACAGGGAAGTGCCTGGACACAGGAGCCTGGGACAGCCACCCCTCGCGGTGCCTGGCAGCCCCCTGCCCCCCCCTGCTCTCAGCCAGAGCCCTACACCGGTGGGAATGTCACCAAGGGCAGCGGCGGCCTGGCCTCTCCCCTGCCCACTGCTCCTCTGCTCCACGGGGATTCGAACCTGCTAGCTCTGTCTCTGCCCTTGCTGGCCTTAGACACCCCCCTTTGCTTCCTTGTACCTCAGTTCCCTCATCTGCAAAATGGGGGTCACCTGGACCTGATGTCCTTCTACTTCCACTGAGGCCCAGGCATCCCTCCCTCACCTGAGTGGCCCCCACGCTCAGCACTCCCGTACTGGTAGCCTAGGCATGAAAGGCTCCTCTGTGCTGAGGTAGGCTGGGCCTCCAGCCTGGAACTGCACAGGAAGCTCCTGCCCACAGCCCTGTCTTGGCGGACAGGCCTCCTCTGTTCCCCTCCCCCCCCCAGCCCCAGGGCCATGATCAGGTTGTGCCAGTGAATCTGTGAGGGAGGGCCCAGCCACAGGCTCCTCAGAGCCACCTCTCTGGGTCTGCTAGTCCAGGGATCCAATCCCTACCACCCAGCTGGGGAAGAAAGGCCCAGGGGGGACCCATGGGTGCACACAGTGCTCCGTGAGGTGCGTGAGGGGACCGCCCAAGACCCTCCTCAGCTGCTCACTGCTCTGGGTCAGACCTCCAGCTGAAAGATCTGGGAGGATCAGGTGGCGCCTCTGAGCAGTTGGGAACACTGAGTCTCAAGGAGAGGGACCGGGCTGTGGTTAGAACTAATTCCAATTCCAGGCTCTGGTTATTTCAGCCATCATAAGGATATGTTCAGGGATGCGCCAGGGATGCTGGAAGGAACCACAAAACAAACCTCCCCCCACCCCCCATCAAATTAAAAGCCCCAGCACTGGCCAGGCAGGCCCAGCTCCCCTCCGCTAGGCTGTAAGAAACTAGGTGAATGTTCCGGGGAACCCACAGAGACAAAAACGGGGGGCACTGCACAGGGTATCCCTTCGCTTTCAGTTCTTCTCCATCTTTCCTTCGTGCCCCTGCATGCCCTCTCCCCTCAGCTGGATGCCCGCTCTGCCTCACCTATTCCTTCTGCTCTCAGCAGAGACCTGGCTCCGTGTCCCCTTCTCCAAGAAGCCCTCTGTGATACCCCAGCCAACCACCACTCCTGGCACAGTTAAGAGCTTTCCGTGTCCGAAGAGCATTCTCACAGCAGCTCTCTGAGGTGGAAAACACTGCTATGTTATCCTATCTGACAGGTGAGAAAAATGAGGCCCGAAGTCACACTTGGCCTTGGAAGAGAGCAGACTCTAAAGCCTCCCTCTGCTTAAGAGTGAACCAGGAATGTAGCCGCCTCCTTGATAGAAATGGGATAACTGAACACAGGGCCAGAGGGGGGCAGGGGCAGGGCTGTGTACAGGGCCCACTAGGAGATTCTATATTCCCCATGTGCAGGGTTGAGCAGGCAGAGGTCAGATGAGCACCTGTGTGGGGCTGGGGAGAGATAGAGAAGGAGCCCGGGTCTCTGTGTGCTGACCACTAAGAAGTCTAAAGACGCTCTCCTGTTTATGGTGCGCACCACAGGCCTAGGGTTTCAGAGCCTGTGGTGAAAGGCCAGGCTCTGCCCACAGCTATAGCATTCACCAGGGCCTGGCCGTGGCAGAGCCACACCGTGATTTCCACGGGTCCCAGGCACTTCAGGCTTTGTAGTCCCTCCTGCCCTGGAAGAAAATGTTACGTTTAAAATATTAAAAATTATTTATATCTAACTCACTGTGCTGGAGTAAAAACAAATAATGTTATATGTCAGAACGTTTTCTTTCGCCTGAAGATTCACACTCTTCCTTTTGAAGCTACTTTCATGTGTTCTCAGAGTGTCGCCCCTGGGCTCAGCAGATCATCCAAGGAGTCGGGGCAGGGACACGGAAACACCCACTTGCTTTACATTAAAGAAGGGAAAGCTCACCAGGGGTGGTGGCACACGCCTTTAATCCCAGCACCTGGCAGGCAGGCAGCATGTCTCTGTGAGTTTGAGACCAGCCTGGTCTACAAATCAGGTTCCACAACAGCCAGGGCGCAAAACTAAAGCTTTTAATGGGGGGTGGGGGATGGGAATATGGTTCAGCAGGTCAAGCCTTTGCTGCACAAGAGACCTCAGTTTTGGGGCTGGAGAGCTGGCCCAGCAGTTAAGGGCACTTCTTGCTCTTGCAAAGGACCCAGGTTTGGATCCCAGCACCTACATGGCGGCTCACATCCATCTGTAACGCCAGTTCCAGGGTAGCCAATGCCCTCTTCTAGTCTCTTAAGGTATCTTGCAGGCACATGGCACCACAAAACCCATGCAAGCAACACACATACACATAAAACGATAAATAAATATTTTTGGGGTTTTGTTTTTCAAGACAGGGTTTTCTCTGTGGGTCCTTGGCTGTCCTGGAACTCACTCTGTAGACCAGGCTGGCCTGAAATTCAGAGATCTGCCTGCTGGGATTAAAGGTGTGCATCACCAATGCCCAGCTCTAAAAATAATAATAATAATAATAATTTTTAAGAGCCTAGACTTTAGCTCCCCAGCACTCAGCTGGTGAGTGGGCACAGAAGCACATTTGTAATTTCAACAGGAGGTATATGGAGACAGGATCTTTGGCTAGCTAGACTAGGTGAACTGTCAAGCTCTGGGTCCAAGCGAGAGGCCCTGCCTCAATGTGTGTAAGGCAGAGCTCAATCTAGGAAGACAGCCACCGCTTTGGGCCTCCACACGCATGTGCATAGATGTGCACAAGTACCCCGCCCACATGCGGCCACATACGTGTGACCTAGCATGCATGTATTCACACCATAGGCATGCACAGAAGTTTAAAAATGGGGACGGGGACGGCCAAGGTGGCACACACCTGCAATCTCCTGGGTGGCGGAGGCGGGCAGATCAGGAGTTCAAGGTCATGTTCATCCACCCAGTGAGCTGAAAGGCAGCCTGGGCTACGTGAAACCCTGTCTCAGAAAATCCAGACAATCAAACAGGCTGAAGAAGGGGTATGTGGGAGTGCCTACACATACCCTGGGCCTACAGAGCTCCCCAGAAAAGAAAGACACCCGAGAAGCTGGAACCTGTGCTGCAAGAGAGGGAGGGACCCTGGGTGGTCGAGCCAGGTGGGAGGGGGCCGTCTGTGTGCCCCCTTTGTACCACTGGAATTCTTCGTCCCTCGAATGAATCACCTATTCATAAAAATAAAGAAATTACAATTTCGGCGGGTGGACCCTTATTCCAATGCAACAGGAGACTATTCAACCAATGTGGAAAAACACTGGCACGGGAGCCAGCAGCACAGCTTTGAATCCCAACCCCACTGGGGCTCCTGAGTGCTTGAGCAGAGAGGGAGGGGACCTGGGGGAGCAGAGGGCCCCTCGATGCTCCCCTCCCGGAACTCCCCGTGCCCTGAGATGAGGACTGGCATCTCCTGTGGAGGATGCTGGGAGAATCAGTAGTAACTGAGGAAGGTGGGCACAGGGCAGTCCCCCTGGACATCGGCCACCACCATCACCTGCCTGCCAGGAAATGTGGGACAGGGGCAGGGAAGTGCCTCTTTCTCCTGCCTGTGCTTGTTATTCAGGCTGTGCTCTGGGGCTGGCCTCCCTCCCTCCTTCACCCTGTCCCTGTGCTGTCTGGCCTAGGCAGCTGCCAGGTACTTCTGAGAAAATGAGGACAATGAAAGACGGCCATGCAGCTCGCCTTGGAGATAAAGTCATCGTGGGAAACGCTGCCCAGAGCAGAATGGGGTGGCACACACAGTAACCCCTCTCCCTACACTCAGGAGGCAAAGGCAGGAGGATTACTCCAAGCTCAAAGCCAGCAGGGTCCACCCTGAACCTTCCAGGTAGGCCAGGGCAAAAACAAAACGAAACAACTCAGGTATCTACAGGTGGCCCATGCTACCTTGAAACAGCATACAGAGTAATAAAAAGCCCAAAGAGGGACTTCCAGAGAGCAAGCAGAGCCAGTGAGTGCACAGAGGGGGGAGGGGTACGGAGACCCCCAGAGCCTGGTCACCAGAGGAGAATTCCTGTCAGATTCTAGGCCTGAAGAGTCCCAAGTTCACTAGTCTCCAGAAGGGCTGGCGTGGGAATGAGGAGGCAGGCTCCCAGGAGCTCTCCCAAGTGCCTTCAGGAGGGTAAGGACTCCCTTCCCCTCGGAGACTCAGCCTCAAGCACAGGCAGAACTGGAGCTTGGCCAGGGGAGGGTGTCCTGGGGGAAGCTGAGCTCAGAATAGCCATGGTGGAGGA